TTAAAAAGTCCCATTTTACATACACAACACTTTACCACTTTTGTCGTTGGCATCCAATAATGATTTAGAAAATGACATACATGTACCATTTTTCTTGAGTGATAATCATCTGTGACACAGATAATAAATGAGCTAAGTTAAGAATAAAATGTTCAAAATATTTTTTTAGGTTGCTTTCTGACACCTTGAATGGATCATTTAAAGTGATTTTGGTTGGCTTTGTGTTGGAGCTGGAATGTATCTACAATCTGCAGCACAGCTGGGTTAGAAACCAGGGTTAGAGACCCCTGCCTTAGTGTCATTATCTATAACCATTTATTTGGTTATTTTCTCATAACAGCACCTTTTCTCTCTTCATTTTGAGGTGCTGTGTGATGTGCTCTGGTAAACCAATTGCTCAGCTTAATTTATTCTATCATAAATCACCTGTTGTTCATACTGTCATTTTGTGTGGGCTGAAAACTTTGCATAAAAGCAAAACAATTCACGTGTTCTTTAAGGTGGGTTTCAAATGAAGATTTTTCCACAGCTCTACACCTCTGTAGAAAATCTTGAATTAAACATTAAGGTGCAGTTAATTCTTTTTTTTTATCTGGAATAGCTAAATTATTTTGAACCATAAGAGTAAAAAAAGGCAATAAATATCAGTTATTATTTTAAACTAAAGTAAACCAAAACAGAGATGCAAAAAATAAAAACAGAAAACAAATCAACAACAAAAAACTAGTGCACCATTGCAGTTTCCATATGATTTAAAATGCTGAGAGGATGCCAATTGTGCAAATGACAGATGTTTGTGTGTCTTAAGGACTTAAAAATTCTGTACAATTTTATAGTTTACTTTTCTGGAGGGAGCTGTGTGTGTCTCTAATTTTCTTACACTGTGGGGACAGAGTAAGGCCAACGTAAAGGTTTTTGTGAGGACCAGTCAACTGGTAGTAGAGTAAATGGATATCACACAGTAAATAGGAATGGTGAGCATACCTACTTAATTAAGTACTTAAGCTGTACGTAATTACAGATTCTGAAGCCCCAGTCTACACAGCAAAGGTTTAAGTTCACAGTTGAAAATGAAAAATGTGTTTGGGGAGAAATGTTTGTTCCCCCTAAACAATGTGACAGCTCATCTGAAGTGTTTGTAGCACTATTTAAATTGTAAAAGGACTAGATGGAAGAAAATAAGAAGACTAAAATTCGTCTACTGGAGCCGTTGTCAGTAATCAATAAAACGACACAAAATAACTGCTTTCAATACCATGTATTAGACAAATTTAAAGTAAACAATACAAGACAACATACATAGAACCCAAAATAAATACAAAAAATTTATATACACAGTACTGTGGCAATCCTTTTGTTTGTGCACAACTGGTCTTAAATTCCCCGCTGATCAGTCCAGAGTCTGACCGACACACATTCAGAAATCCATGGTTGGATTATCCAGATATTTAAGTTGAAGAATGTCCCAGCGCAAGTTGTTTCAGATGAAGAGGTGAATAATGGAGTGTATGCCTGAGTGGTGAGATGGAGGGGGGAAATGATACAGACCAGTCCACTGTGGAGTGATTCTTAAGGCTCTCCTGGCTCCAGCCAGTTTTCAGAAGCTCACCATCTTTTTCCCTAAAAAGGGATCGCCTGGCCTGTATTAAAATAAACAGGACCAGTAAATTTCCAGCCGGCTAGTTAACTAGACTTTTCCAGTTTCACACAGAAATAAATGCAAAATCTAATCTATCAGACCAAATAAAGAACATTTATCTCATTATCTTACAGTTGGATTACAACAATTGATGATCACACTTAGCATTTGCTGCCACCAACATGCTAAAACAACAAACATTGTGCTCTCTACTCACCAATTCCAATAATAGACGAGAGTATGGCAGCTCCAATGCTCCAAACTCACTGGATTTCTCGGATCTACATGATTTTTATATTGTGAGGTTAAACAGTGCATTACAAACAAAGAGATGAACTGATTGTTTGGGAACACCAACCTGTAGCTCCTTTGTCTCCAGCTCTCCCCCTCACATCTGACTGGGGAAAGCTGGAGCAAGCCTAAATAATTGCCTCAGGTGTATCAATTGGCTGCATGCACTGTGTGACTGACTGTCACTCTAACCAATGGGGCAGTAAGGCGGGACTAAGGGCAGTTTTCACCCTGGGTTACATGTTGAAAGTACCCTCTGAATTACTATACAACTATGCAAAGAGACAGATGTGACAACATCAAACTGTGCCAAAAACAAACAGAACAGTTTAGATACATCAAACCAGACATTAAACAAGGAGGTGGAGGGATGATGATTTGGGCTTGTTTGCAGCCATAGGTTTTACAAAGTATTCTAGTCTCATGTTTCAGGCCACTTTTTAACAAACTCAAGCCTTAAGAATTGATCCACCCAAACAGTTAAATGTTTATTGCAAAGAAGAATGGTTCTGTATGGAAATGTGTGAGTACATACATTCCTATAGAAAATTTCCGTTTCAAATGTAATTTAATTATTGACCTATAAACAATAACAGTGTGGTATTTGCTCTCATTTATTGAATACTTAAGGTTAATCACATAATATCGACACAGGAAAGTCATTTAGTTTTATTATATGCTGAAACAGCCAATTCTAGAAATGATGAAGTGACATGCATCTGATTTAATCTTCCCAGACTGTTGTGGCTTGTAGATGTTTTGCTGCAATAGTATCATCTATTAATGTGTAGAACAACCGGTCCTCTGAACATTTCCAATAACTTTGGTGTCCTAATTCAGATGTGGATTCTTACTCTTTGCTCTTTTTCTCTTCCCCACAGTTGATTCTCATCTGTTTTCACCTCCCTGCACTGAAAAAAATAAAAAAAAATGTCTTCTATTTTTATGCTCAGATGCTAGGGAGATGCAACCTCATGGGATTTTTTGCAGCTCTCCCTGTTCACTCATTCGCCTGCTTCCCTTGCTTCCTTTCTTCATCTTTTTGAGCATCTGCTAAGGGTTAACCTATTTTTACAGGTTTTCAGATTTTCTTTAACATCGGGTTGTGGGTTCTGTAAATAAATCCTACTTGTTTTCCTGAAGTATGTCATCCATAGATGGATGTATCTGAGGCGATTGATTTGTGCCAAACTAAAATAGGTTATTGCATAAGAATGCCGGGGGTTGTTCAAATATTACCATTTTTTTTCCCTTGATGCACAGGAAAAAGGATTGTTCTGTTAGCTTTCAAAGCAAGCTAAGAAATCTAAGGGTTCTTATCCTTTTGCAAGTTTACCAATATTTGTTTGTGGCTTACAGGAGGTGCCTCTTAAACCTGACAAACTATTTTTGTAATGCTGGTGTCAAAGGTGTGTGAGCACTCTTTGGTTTGAGTAATTTTCAACAGTCCTCAAAATCCTGAGCATTAATCCTGTTTTTCCAAGTAAGAAATCCTTGAAACCCATAGAGCCCAGGCATTATCCCTCTCCGCCATGAAGGCTGGCAAACTGTCACAAAAAAGAAATTCCTTAAATCTTCATGTGGATATTCTGCCTTTTTGGTTTCAAGGTATATCTTTGTATGCCCAGTTAAGACTTTCAATATGCAAAAGTAAAACAACGTTACGTTTCTTATTTGTATGATTTTAAGTGGTGCAAATTTTAAATATATCTTAATGATATATATATATTTATATATATTTGACATATATCCTTTTGGAATGCATATTAATATGGCAAGACTTTAACTTCCTAGTCAGTACCTAAAGCTGGGGCTTCAATATGTCTACCTTATGTTCATTCGTCAGCACACCATTCGTTTTTTCTTCTTTTTTTTAAGTTTAAGCAGAAAAGCACCCAATGCTGCCAATTTCATTTTCACAGTTAAGAAATTTTCTCAGGATTTCAAGCCGTCTCCTTAAATGTGTCTTTGTAGATATTTTTAAACTTTAATCTAAGATTTTACCCATAAAAATCATGTCAGTGATCCTAGTCCATTTAGATGTCAGACAGTGAGAAAAACAAGTTTATGTGTCTTTGTATGGATAATATGAATTGTAAATATATATCTGGTTTCAATTTTATAAAACCAGGCTAATATTAAAAATCTGAATTTTTTAAGCTTACTGTATATGAATAACATACTTTTGCAAGTGTCAGCATTTAATTCCTGCTTCCTGCTTGCTCTACTTCTCCTCTGCTCCTTTTTTTAAATGCAAGTGTTTGAGCTGCTGAACTGTGAAGAGTTCTGTCTGAGCCGAGAAAAGCCTGGCCCTCCTGACAAGATGAAAAAGTTGAATCTGCGATCAAGCACAGCTGAATGAATGTAGCGACACGTCACAGTCTTTAAGAGATGCGTCCACTCGGCGGCCATCTGTATGGAGCAGGTTATCTGCTTCCCTAAGCATGAGAATGCTTTAGGAAACATGTCTGGCTCTGAATTAGTATTCTAGCGGATGTCTTCCATCAGTACGCTCAGCATCAGAGATTTATTAGCTTGTTATATCATATAGTGTTTAAGTTGCAGCTTTGAGAATAATTAATGGTACAGTTTTGAACTTCTGGTGGGGGATTTTATCATGTTTGTGGCATCACTTTAAAAACCATTCACCCACATTCACAGGTGATGGCAACAAGCTTAACAGCAGCTATATGTGTGGGAAAATAGTGGAAAATCTGCTTGGAATCTGCACTTTATATATGTGTTGAATGGTTACAAAAAAAACAACAACACACATTTACATGCAAGTTATAAAGTTGGAATGAATGTGGCATCTGACAATTGCTGAATTACTGTTTCAGCTACTTAGTGTGCTATTTTACCTCATAAAAATTTTGGTTCAGTGAATGCAACTTTTTTTTTGATGACTAATGAAACCTTTTAGTTAATTAATTTATTTTTTTTACATTTATTGAGTCTCAAACTAAAAGTATTTTTGCACATTACAGCTAAAATACATTTCTTTGCTTATCTTCTCTCTACTATAATATTTTTTTATAACAAATACCCTTCTTTTTCTGGCTTGACTTAGGTCCTGCCTTCGTGGGAATAGTGAAGAAAGACTGGTCTACCCACAACAGCATCGCCCTCTCCTGGTCAGAAGTGGAACAGACACCTTCAGACATTATAGACTATGAAGTCAAATACTATGAGAAGGTAACATGAAATATCAAAGACACTTTAACTTCTTTGTATTTAAGCAATCTGCTTAAAAATCCATAAAAAAAAGTCTGTGCTTTGCTCTCTGACAACAGACTAATACAGAAGCGTGTTTATCTGATTTGCAAAAATGTTGTATAGCATGTATTTATTATCTATTCACACCCATCTAGGAGCAAGAGCAACTGAGCTACTCCTCAACACGGACTCGGTCCACCAGTGTGGTAGTTACAGGCCTAAGACCCTCAACTGTTTATGTCTTCCATGTGCGGGCTCGCACTTCAGCCGGATTCACAGCTTATAGTCCCAACTTTGAGTTTGCAACTGCAGCTGAGGGTATGAGCGTGAATGTTGGTGTGTGTGTCCATAGTGGATTGGTCTGGGGTTGGAAAATGGCATATTATATTCACTATGTTTTCAGCAACCCATTACATGATCAAATTATTATATCCAGTAAAATCCCTAGAGAAATATATTATCTTTGTCACAGATCAGTTCAATTAATTTTTTGCACAAATATATACTTTAAGCAATTGATATGAATGACAAAAAATTGAAACACTGGTAAGTCTGCTTTTCATTGAGCTAGAATTATAATTTGGCACATCTTAGAGTATACTGTATGTGTATAATCTAATCAGATAAGACTAATTGACAACTGCTGCTTGGGGGTTTCTCTTAAATGATCAATGCTGAATTAAAGATTAGCGAGGATCAGGTATGGACTAGTTTAAACATTTTAAAAGTAACATTTAATGTATTTTACTGTGTGCAAATACAGACGAAATAAATAAAAATATTGTGAAAGAGTTGAAAAATATAAATGAATTTCAGAGGATTTCAGAGGCCTTTTTTTCCTTTTACTTTGAATGACTATGGCTCACAGATGATGAAAACCCAATTTTTCATGTTAGAAAATTACAATACAGTGTAAAAATTAGCCAGTGGTTAGAAAATTATGCGGAAGAAAAAAGTGTTGTAGGCAAAATCATCACCAGTAACAAAGATCACTACAGTCATGAGAGCCATTAAGGAATGTTAGAGGCTTTACAGGGAATGGACTTAGGTTGGAGTCAATGTATTAAGAGCCACTGTGCACAGATATATCCAACACATGGGCTACAACTGCTACTTCTGAACAGATTCAACTTTAAAATCACATTACTTTGGCTAAGGGAAAGAAGTACTCCCAAGTTCTATTTTCAGACTTAAGTAAAATTTGCCTTTTGTTTGTTACTCAAGCTCCTAGAGTTTGCAGAAGTACTTAAAAGACTATTATTTCACATTTCTTAAGTCCAGTGTGATATGTTTAGTCAATTTTGATTTGGAGTGCCATCTTATCTGCTGGTATTGGTTTATTGTTTATTTTCTAAAATCCACAGTAAGTGCAGCCATGTACCCGGAAATTAAGAGCAAATGGGGGAGTGGTGGCCTTGTGGTTATAGCAGTGTGGTTGTGCTCTGAAAAGGTTGCAAGTACCTGGTTCAATCCCCACAGCCTCCACTCTGGGTTTCTGAGCAAGACCCTTATCACACTGCTCCACGAGCGCCACACGATGGCAGCCCACTGCTCCCCAAGGGGATGGGTCAAAATGCAGAGAGTTCATTTCATTGCTTTGTACTTGTGACAGTGTAATGACAATAAAGTTGAATTCTAATACTAATCCAATCAAATTCCATCTGCTTACAAGCTACTACTTCAACTTTCCAGTAGGACCTGGCACCTGTCTGCACTGCTAAATATACTAAATGCTGGTTCAATGACTGTAGTGTTAGTGTGCTTGATTGACCATTAAACAGGCCAGAGCAGAACCCCATAGAAATCTGTGGGGTTTTGTTAAGAGGAAAATGAGAGACAGCAGCCCCAACAATACAAATGACCCAAAAACTCCCTTCAAAGAAACCTTGACTTCCATTAAACCTCAGCAGTGCAGCAGGCTGATCAGCTCTATGCCACATCACATGAATACTGTAATTTATGCAAAAGAAGACTCTGGCCATGTCTTAGATGCATTGCAATGAAAAAAACAAATTTTTTTTTTTTTACTCTATCTACCTTTTTTGACAATATTAATTTATCTGTATATCAGATTTTATTTCTTAATAATTGACTAAATATTGAACCGCTTCACAACATTCATTTTTGTTAAAGTTGTGCTTGTTTATTATCTGATCATTTCCCCCTTCTCATCTCAGCTTTTTTCTGACTTTCTGTAGATCCCGATATTGCTGATCAGGGTCAGGTTCTAGTGGTTGTCACAGCATCAGTTGGCGGATTTTCCCTTTTGGTCATCCTTACCCTCTTCCTCCTCATCACAGGACGGTGAGACTTCTCCTATTCCCTTCTACCCTGACTGTTCACACATATGGACTACTGCAAAAACACTAGTCCTTCTCCAACTCTTCCAATGAAGCAATGCTTCAGAAATCTGTTAATGGACTCTTTTTTTGCACCTCTTATTTTCCAAATGACTGCACCCATTTTCTGCCTAATTACCCAGCATGTAACACACGTACCAACAGTTTGCTCCATTCCATTAACCTCCACAGGATTGCCCAGACAGTTCACCTTAGTAACTTCTGTTCACATCTATAAAAATGAACAAAAAGTCTGATACCCTGTCATCTACTCAGGTATCATTTGTGCAATAAAAAAGAGAGAATGATAAATAACTATCAGAATGTGCTCTGAGTACAGATTTCACATACCGATAGTTTTTTTCTTTTGTTTTTTTTTTCTCAGCTGGTACTTCATTTGGTCCAGAAATAAAATAAGTCAGGATGTGATATGGATGGTAAAAATGTGATGTGAGAGTCTGTTCTTTAGAGCATGCATTTCAATTTGAAGTAATTTTGTTTTTCTATTCAGGTGCCAGGGGTATATCAAAGCCAGGATGAAGTCAGAGGACAAAAGAAGTCGCTTCCACAGTGGACATGGTACTGTTTATAAAGTTGTTGTTTTTTTCTATCTGGTACTCAGGATGTGTTCTTCTCTTTCTCAAAACTATGCACTGTCATTGGAAATGTGACTAGTCAAGAGTAAAGTAGGAATAAGTTGGCAGAAAGCCAAAGGAGAAAAACAGCAAAAAACATATTTTTCTGAGAAAATAGTGAATTTTCTTTGATTGCTAATGTGGAAATTTTGGTTTTGAAGAAACATTCAATGCTCTTAATGACAGTTACAGAGTTTTTTTAAACTGGTAAACTTTGCATTTAAAAATCACTCTGTTTTCACTTTTTCTTAGTCGTCCTGCATCTGCATAACCTGCATTCTAATATATATACTGCCTTTGTTTGGCTCCAAAAGGGGCTTTTTGATGCATGTGTTTATGCATGTCTTTTGGCCTATTTTTGAAGGGGAGCCCCACCCAAGACCAACTAACTTTAATATCATCAAATCTACTCTTACCCCTATTTATTATGACAACAAAGTCATAATGTAAATTGGGGGCACTAAGACCCTTTTCGGAATGCATGCCACATATCCCTAACCTGAAAACTGGTCTGCTGGTGGCACAGGATACAGTAGTAGTAGAAACTTTAAGAATGAAAAATTGTAATTAGATGAATTCATATATATTTTGCAGTCTGATCAACCTGGTCTACCTCCTTTTCAAGAGTCTCTGGAATGTGATGCATGCCCATGTTGCTTTTTTTAGTCAAAATTTTGTTTTCTCTGCACTAATTGACTAATTGACCTAAACAAGAACTGTTGTATCATTTTATGAATACCATATGTAGTTTCAAATTGATATAATGATATAGCATGTTTGAATATAGTATTTCATTAATAGAGTGATATAAGATGAATCTTCAGGGAAGGGGCATTTTACAATACCCAGTCAGATGAAAAGAGCAGAGGACAATGATGTAGCAAATCACAATCTATCATGGTCTATTGGCCCAGATCATGAGAACATAACCTAGGCAATGTAGTGGGTGCTTGAATTTATTTATGCTGATAGGATCGGATGAAAGGCAATTACTTCTGTGCATTTGCAGTCATGTGCTTCCCAACAGTGTAAAAAACCCTGTGTTCAATTTTTTTCTCCTTGCTATGTTCCTTTTTTTCCCTTTCAATGTAAAAGCTTTATTGATCACAAAAATTATGTTCCTGAAATTAAACATGCAGAGCTCCATCATTACAATAATCAGGGGGACAAGCTTTGAGTGGACGGAGCTGTATGTGGCCTTTTATTGTGGACAAACTGAGGCACACCTGTGTACTAATCATGGTATCTAATCAGCATCTTGATATGGCACACCTGTGAGGTGCTCATTATCACAGATTTAGACTGGTTTGTGAGCAATATTTGAGGGAAGTGTTTATATGTGGAATAAGTTTTAGATCTTTGAGTTCATCTCATAAAAATGGAAAATTTGAGCAAAACTAAAATTGTTGCGTTTTTGTTTTGTTGAGTGTATATAGGCTTTTGGCTTCATCCATTAAAGATATATATTTTTCCAAAAAATTATGCTTTCTTTTTTTTCAATATGAAAGTTTAACACTGTTGTTTGGCAGTCACATCAGCTATAGAGTCCACCTGTCTCGTCTTAACTTTTCAAACATACTGTATTAAACTCTTTGCCTCTTATTAGATTTTGGGAAAACATTTGAACAAACATCTTACCATTGAGAATTAAAAAAACTGGCCATATTATGGGGCTAGAATTACAGGTAACTGTGGGTTATTGATTTCCCTGGAGAAAAAACATTTTCTTCCCAGGGAGCTAAACAATCCTCCTTTCAACTGTTTGCGCCATATATTTTTAATCTGATTCCATCAGAGGCTCAATTCCTTTTCTCGAAAAAGCTGCTATATCATGTTTTGGCATGTTGAAATTGAAGACTGACCTGAAAACAAAGAAGGAGAACTGTGTAGATAAATATGAAAACAGTGACACAGCTACTATTCAATAACATTTAAAATTACTTTATTAATCCCAAAGGGAAGTTAAATGTTTTACTAATTCAAGAGCTCTAGGAACAGTACGTTTATATATGGAGCAGGGCCGTTTAAAAGAATTTGGGCCCAAGCATAATTGACTGTATGAATACATATATACAAAAACTCCTCTGTAACCCACCCCTCGTTCTACTGGACGGGGTGGGTGGTCTCCTTCATCCAATGCTCAGGTCCTCTACCAGAGGCCTTGGAGCTTTAGCATTATTTGCAGTATCCTAGCTTTTCCTAGAACTGAATTTCTGCACTGAGATCTCTGATGCTTCTCTAGGTATCTGGTGGAGCCAAATTTTTAGTTACTGCCGAGTTACTACTGGTTACTGCCCTGAGTGCTCCTTTGACCACAGGCACTACAGTTGCCTTCATCTTCCAGGCTCTCTCTAGTTCTGCCCTGAGGCCTTAGTATTTCATTACAATTCCTCATGTTCTTTTTTACTGGTTCCATCATTGGGATGGCCACATTTATCAGAGGCTGCCCTCTGCTGCCTATCAATGATTACAATATCTGGATGATTGGACACAACCATTTGTCTGTTGGTATCTGGTTCTCCTTCTGCATCTTAACTTTGTAATTCTCCACCACCTCTGGAGGTGGCTCACATTTTGATGTGAGGGTCTACATTTTTTCTTCTACACAGATCCTTCTGTACACTATACCTGTCACTTAGTTATGACGTTCCATCCATTCCTTTCCTACCAGTGTCTTACACCCTGCTGTGAGATTATGGATTGTTCTGGGGCCTCTTTGCATTGTCTGCACCTGGGATATTGACTGGTATAGAATATCTGTGCCTTTATTGCTCTGGTACTCAGTAAAGGTACTCAAGGTCCTGTGCTTCCATGATCAGGGCTTCTGTGCTAAACTTCAGCCCAGCCCTCTCTAACCTTTGGTAGGATTTGATTATATGATCTCAATATAGCCTCTGAGATTATTGGAGCAGTGAAATACATCCACCAATTCATGGCTATTATTTGATAGATTGTGTATTTATCAAGTGAGGAATCTAGGGGTGCTGTGGTTAATCATTCAGCCAGCTTACAGACATTTCACTCTACCAACATATTCACATTCCCAACTCTTCAGATATTGACGCTTTTGGTCAAAGGTCTCAGTGCTTCACATACTGATTCAACGGGGTATCCCACTCTTCATATATTGACACCCAAGGTAAATGACAGGTTGCGGACATGGTATCATGCTGCACATATGTGACCAACATTTCAACAGCAACATTTCTTTTTGTCTTTTTAGCCGACAAAGTTTTTATTGGTAGCTTTAGGAGTGTACGGTAACAGGTATACCAGTTTTTAATTAAGCTTAGTGGTTAGGGGGAGGGGTTACTGCTAGTTACTGCAAGTTCCTGTCACAACCTATCATGGACCCTGCGCATCATAAATGACAAGAGGGCTCAGTATTGGATGCAACAAGGGGTTGACCAAGCGTCAATATTTGATGAGTCAGGGATGAGAATGCATTGGTTCCATTTATCAAACTCACTACTGGCTGTCCAGGGTCTTTCCCTTTTCACTAGCCTTAGATCATATTAAAGGTATAGTGGAGGATGTTCTTTTCCAAGGTGGATCATCAAAATAAGTGGGCCTCCTAATTAGGCCGTTCTATGTGCTCGTCTTCATTTTCACTTACAGGTGGTGAGTCTGACAATGGAGAAATTGCAAATCTCCTTTTGGAAATAAGCTTGAATTAGTGATGCAAACAGTAACTTTTAAATAGAGCGTGCACGAGGAGAAATAGGCTTGTGTTTGATAGGCCTTCCCTCGACAGCGGGTAGAGGGTCATGGATGTGCATTTTTTTTTAAGTGGAGAGTCTTTTCTTTTCATAAATTTACGAAAATCCTCCGCTATACCTTTAAGTTTGTATCCTTATCCCTATAGAAGGGATCCCAATGTATGTCCTGCTTCAACTATTTTGATATCTGAGAAAGATTAAATAAAACATTAGAACTTATAACACTTTTGTATGAGTAGAAAAACTTTAATAATGGAGAAGTAAAAACTTACATTTCTATTATATTTATAACATCTATAACCTTCTTTTATTCCTTAAGATTATTCCTAATGGTGCTGAGAAAGTATAGGATGGCTGGAGGCCTTTTAATAAACATTGAACATGTATGGTTTTAACTTTGAAAGAAAATGTGGTTCAATATTCAGATGTTTCAATTTAATAGAAATATTCTCATGTTTTTCTTTTGCATTTTGCATTAGGTTTTGCTGCATTTGGCAATGTTCTTTCTCAAAGGGTAAAATAGAAATGGTTAAAAAATTACATATAATTTCCTCCTACAAGTGTAAGCGCTTCACTTAAAGCTTACCCTAGCTAAGTAGTTTATAACCTAAACAGAAATACTAAAAATGGATCAATTTCAGACATTACAGTCATTCAAAACGGAGTGCTGTATAGGAGATTGATGAATGATTGCAGTAATTTCTTTTATTAGATTACAGAAGGGTACACATTTAAGGGTACACATATAAGTAGCACATGAAAACTCTAATTAATAAAAGCATAATTAGCACAAAAAATATTTTAGTGAAGAGATATATTTTGATTATTTTATGGCATAAGATAACAAAATGAATTCATAATACATGAGTAGGACATGAGTAGAAAAATTGTTTTAAATTTTTTTTTATTGTTTTAGTTTTAGCTAAATTCAGCTTAAAACTAGATTGAGTCTTCCACTTGTTTGGTGAAAATCTCTCATTCTGATAACTGTAATTCTTGTCTTTCCTGCCTTTATCGTGCTTGTTCTTTCCTGTTGTGTGCTGAAGGAGTCTCAGTTAGGCAGGTAGTGCCAGCAGGCTTAACAAAATAGAAGAAACAACTTGTTCTTCTGCAGACACCCCAGAGACAGAGGTGCAACTCTAACTCCAGACTTGGATCTGTCTCAAACAAAGCGTTCAACCATCTGCAATGCGAGCTGACAAACCCATAAAGTACATTTAGTCCCAAACTCTCCTGCTAGAGGTGTGCTATGGGCTCCTTCTTGTTAATTTCATATTAAGTCCCATAACATATATTGATTTATGAGTGCTGATTTTGCATTTACTTACTTTATAAAAGTTTTCACTCAGGCCTTACAAACTTGCCAGGCTAAAAAGTGACTGTGGGAGGGGAGTTGTTTTTTTTCTACTGTTAGTGATTGTTTGGAACAGAAAACAATAGTTCCTATAAGATGCCAAACTCTTTCCCCTCAAGGTTTTTACTGTTTTCTTCCACTGTCTGTAACTTGTTTTGATTAACTGTATGTGGAGACATTCACAGCTCTATTGCAGAGTTTAAGTCAGTAGGAAAAAGCTTCTCTAGATCAGAACAGGGCAGAACATCAAGCTTTGAGGGCTGTTATGATTGACTCGATCGCATCTTTGCTAAGATAAAATAAAGTACCGACTGAGTGATTATCCATCGATCTCCTTTATGTAACTGGATAACATGGTTGAATACTTTTTTCCCTCACTCTATAGCAGTGGTTCTCAAACTTTTTCTGTCATTCCCCACTTTGGACAAGGGGGGATTTTCAAGCCCCGCCTGTCCCCATCGCCCCAACACAATGCTTATGAAATATGCAACAATCTTAAAATGTTCCAATTTTATTGAAGTAACAAGTAGTATCTAAATACAAACTATCTACATCAAATAACAGCAAGCTCAAAAATAAAGAAAACAAAAATGCAGCTGTGTCAAAATTTGTATTAAGCTCAAAGATAGAAAAAATTAAAGTGCCACTCTGCAATCTGTTAAAAAAAGAAAAGAAGTGAAATCCATCTGGCAAGACAGGTCTATTTATCCCTGCATTAGTGGCTGCAATTAGCCTGTTTCGCATTGCACAGTTTCTCAAAACGGAGTTGCAGGCTTGATACTACCACTCTCAGGTCATGCTCAATGTTCAGCTGAGATCTGTATTTTGTTTTCAGTGAAGCAACAGCTGAAAAGCCCATCTCACAGAGATATGATGTGGCAAAGGGAAGAAGAATGCACACAGCTCTCTGCCCGATGAGTGGATACTCCCTCTCCACTCCAAACCAGAATTCACTATGAGTCTGAGCATTAAACCTGAGCCTCAGGGTGGAGTCAGACATCATGTCAATAAACTGGTCCTCCTCAGCAGACCTAAAATCAGCAGGTGCTGCAGACAGAATAGAAAAAAATAGACTTACTTTATTTTTCAATGCATAATAAACACAAAGAAATCAGTTTGACAACAATCCATTCCAGCTAGTAGCATACAACAGAAATAAATTAATGTATAATATATGAGTATAATATTCAATAAAATGTCAAAATACCAACCTGCTGCATTGAATGGATCCATAATAAACCAGGCATACTGAGCACTGTTGTTTGGGAATTATTTTTGAAACAATCCACTCAGGGAAGAGAGGTGCTGCTTAATACATGGGATCACTGTGGTGGCTCCAATAAGATAAAAATTGGATAAGATAAAATATTTCAAATTCAGTTATTTATGATCAACCTGCGCCGTCAATCCCGGCGCATGTGCGCTTTATTTGCAGTCTGCATGCTGTGTCTCTGACTGCAGCGCTGAGAGGGACTTCTGTGATAGCGGGGGAGAACGGGGTGGGGACAGAGGAGGCGCCCCACGGCAGCACCTGCCGCTGGAGGACAAGAAAAGGAACGATACGTGCTTTCACGTAAGAGTCTCCAAAAGTCCCTCGATTTGTCGCTAGTCGCTTTTTTGATAAAGAGTCGCTGGAGGGGTCTGAAATATAGCGACAAAGTCGCTGAGTTGGCAACACTGGGGCGCGAAAGTTTATTCCGTTACAAATAATATGCCGACGTCACGTCAATCATTATTTTGGCACTTCAGTTCCAGGTGAAATTTTTCTCATATCTAATGTTCTTTTAATTAGACTGCATGTAGACTAGTAATGATTACTTTGTGGGTTTGATTGGTCTAAAAAGCGGCAACATACAGCTATAAGGACAGTTTGCTCTCACACGTTCTACATTTATAGTCAAACACACACACACCGGAACTTGGCGCGCCCCACCTGTCACGTCTCAATTCCCCACCAGTGGGTCGCGCCACACACTTTGAGAACCGCGGCTCTATAGCAACATCCCAAGGCTCACCAAAGCAGTACGTTACTGCACTCTGATTGCCTCCAGTATTTGGGTTGTAGCTTTGGGATTTTTTTCACCTTCAGATTTTACAATTGCATCACATTTTTATCTCATGAAAGAAATACTGTATATCACAGTTAAAAGCTAATAGAACCAAGTGTTCCATCAAATGTTGACTTAGAATTTTCTTGTGAAAATCTTAGTATTTCTAAGGTAAAGTATGGTTTAGTTCAGCTAGGTTTCGGCTAAGTGCAGTTATATAGTGTAAGCTATATTATATATTTGAAAAACCTTCACAGAAAAATATACTCAAATGCAGTTATAAGTTGTTGTGGGTTAGTGTTTGAGAAATATTCTTAAGTAGATATTTAATGCTTTCCAGAAAAGATCTAAAGATTTGAGATTAACATGCTGTGTAAAATGTGATTACAAGAAAACCTAGCGTAACTACCTACTTACTACGTAAAATAAGAAGATTTAAAATGTAAAAGGCAGCGCTATAGGGAACCGCCTCGCAGTGGATCCCTTGGCAGCCATAAGAACGTGCCAAAGGCAGCGTTCTGCGGCACGAATGGCCTCAGTAAATCGCTCCCCCTGATGAACGCTTTGTACTGAAACTGAAATTTTGATTACAATGTAAATTGTAGTCAACAATAAAGAAATTGATTGATTGAAAATATATTTGAGGAATACATGTTTGTTAAAGCATACATTTAAATGTGAAACCAGGCCAATGCAAATATCTAGTAGAAAATTAAACTGGTTCTGGAATGTAGGAAAAAGTATATAAAATTATGGCATATTGTTAACTCAAGGCTCTCAGTGTTATAAATTTTTGATGTCCATGCTTTTTTTATTTATTTATTTTTCTTATCTTCGGGCGTTTAACAGAAGAAACATATCTCAAAGGTCTGGTAGAGTACCAGCAAAATAGTTTGTAGAGTTCTGAAATCAGGTGCAAGGCATTATAATAATCCATTTACTTTGCATTCAAGGTGTGCTATCATTTTGCAGAGTCTAAAGTACTTAATGTGTTAACAAAAAGAAAGTATGATGCCAAATATCTAAAAACATGCTTTTATGTTTCTGTATGTCTCTTACGCATCAGTCCCGTTTTCTGGTATAAAGACCTATGTGGATCCAGACACATATGAAGACCCTACTCAGGCTGTGGAAGAATTTGCCAAAGAAATCGACCCCTCCTACATATGTATTGACCGAGTGATTGGTGCTGGTAAGATAATTACTAATTCATATTAGTAAATTGCTATATAACTTGTAACTGTAATCTATATTTTTTATAGCACCTGGAAGTTAGAGAACATATTCAAACTGTGCTACTATCATCATTCTTTTTTTTAAATGATAATCCACAAATCTTCCTAAGCTGTCTCAGTTATTACTGGCCACTTGAGGAAGAGACATGATCTCATTTTATGTCAAGAAAGACATTAAAAATGAATACTTGATGCCATAAACTTGTCATTTTTATCACATCTAATTGCTGCTGATTTTAAGGAAATTTATTGTTTTGTAGATTTGATAATAAAAGCTATAACTGCCAACTGAACAACACTGTTTATGCAAAGAAGTAAAAAGTTTAAAATTAATACAGTTCAGTTCAAGGTAATCAGATAAAGATGTGCAAATAAAATCCAGATGCTTTGGAAGTGTGTATTATACACCGCACCTAAACTTTACAGGCCTCCTTGAAAAAAAGTGTATTGTCATCCGCTAGTTGACACCACTCTTGTATTTAGTAAATATTTCATGCTCTAGAGTTTGTATACTTTTTATGACAGTTGTTTTAATATGAAGGAAAACGGGCTGTATAACAAGAAGCAAGAGGTTAAGATAAACTGACAATCCTACCTATTTTTTTTATAGATCAAATCAAATAGAGTGTAACCATTTGTAACCATATTATATAAAGTACAATAATTAAGTTGTAAACTGACCTTTTCTAACCATTTGAAAATGAATGTTTGCTTAACTGAATCTAAAGCCTTACAGGACTCAACAAAGAAAATGAAGATATTTTTCTGAATAATTCCAGATGTCTGCTGCTAAGCTGATATTACTTGAAAATATGTCTGCTATTAAGAATACCAGACAAAGATGAATTTTTCATGACATTCTGTTTCTGCATCCGCTCCAGGAAATCTATTAGGTTTTGGCACTTTATAGTACTAGTGATTTCCTGTAACAGAAACTTTTTTAACCATATTTTCAAAGGACTAATCTTAGTTGCTTCCAATAAATACTTTTTACCACAAAATTGAGATGTATACAGTGTTATTTCAAGCAGCAAGTATGACCTCTAGCAGTTCATTTGATAATTTCCTTTTACACAGTCTCCATCTAGTGGAGATGAAGCACAACTACCCATTTTCAGGACCATGAAGCAATGATAAAGTTCAACTGTTAAACACACAATGTTCAATGCAACTCCTCTTTTTTGTTTCCTTAAGGTTTTATAAGATTTACATCATTTTAAATATTTTGACTTGTCTTTGCAGGTGAGTTTGGAGAGGTGTGTAGTGGGAACCTGCGTATACCTGGAAGGAAGGATGTTGCTGTTGCAATTAAGACCCTTAAAGGTGGCTACATGGAAGACCAGAGGCGTGAGTTTCTACGCGAGGCTTCCATCATTGGACAGTTCAACAACTCTAACATAATCAGGCTGGAGGGAGTCGTCACGAAAAGTGAGCTCTGTTTTTAAGTTATGTGTCTTTTGTTATGGTTTAAATTATTTTTCTTCAAAGTCAAGAAAAGCGCTTGTGATAAAATTATTGGTAATACCCTTTTAACATTTAACACATTTTAAAAAGTTGGACCATCTTTTTTTGTTGTCCATCTATTGCAGTTTTGTTTTGTGCAGTATGGCCAGTATACATATTTAATGTTTTAAAACCAGGTATTTTTTTTATTTCTTTTACAGGTAGACCAGTAATGATAGTGGTAGAGTACATGGAAAATGGAGCACTTGATGCATTCCTGCGGGTAATCAGTTTATTTTTTGTAATTATTTACACATCTATTTATACATAATCAAACATAATCAATCTTGTTTTTTTTTTTTCTCTTTTCTTTGCATATCTAAACGTCAGACCCGTGAGGGTCAGTTCACTGTGCTCCAGCTGGTTGGCATGCTGCGAGGCATCGCAGTGGGCATGACGTACCTTTCAGACATGGGTTACGTTCACAGGGACTTGGCTGCTCGCAACATTTTGGTTGATGGAAACTTGGTGTGTAAAGTTTCGGACTTTGGCATGTCCAGAGTCCTTGAAGATGACTCTGAGTCAGCTTATACAGCTACTGTGAGTGTGGATATGGCAGCTTCAAGAGAATATAACTGTCAAACAACAGTGTGTGCACAAGTTAAAACATCATTCTTTTCTACTTATTTGCATTAGGGGGGAAAAATACCAATACGCTGGACAGCACCAGAGGCTATTGCTTATGGAAAGTTCTCTTCATCTAGTGACATATGGAGCTATGCCATTGTCATGTGGGAAGTGATGTCATATGGTGAAAGGCCCTACTGGGAAATGTCAAACCAAGATGTAAGTTTTTGGTTACTTAAAAACTAGGAATGAACAATATTGGCATGTTACTGATATCAGCTGTTGCACCAATATAACTCCCCAATACAAAAGGCAAAAAAGTGAGGATTATGCCTGCAGTTCAAGCAGGTCACATTCAACCATCTGATGCACGACTCGGCTACAGAAGAGATGCTGAATTAAAATGTTGGAGGTGTGGAGGAATTATAAAGTTTCAGAAAAGCCAAACTGCTATTTGCAATGACTGCACAGATAAAGAGAGCAAAACCTGCATAGTAACTGTATGTAGGTCTACGGTTGAGTTTTAAAATATCAGCAGATTAGACTGTAGAAAAATTCCAATACTTAACATTCCTGATTAAAACCATAAATATTTCAGGATCTTCAAAAAAAATTTTTTTAATTTCTGTTTATGTTTGCTTACATTTCTCCAAGGTTATCTTATCTATTGAAGAAGGCTACCGCCTACCAGCACCAATTGGCTGCCCAGTGACCCTACACCAGTTGATGCTGCACTGCTGGCAGAAGGAGTCAAGCCAACGCCCAAGCTTTACCGATGTGCTATCTTTCCTTGACAAACTCATTATTAATCCCAGTAGTATGTTGACCCTGGTCAATGACGCTCTAAGGTATTTCTCAAGTCCTTATGTGTTCATGACTGTTTAAACCACAAAAAAGGCAACATTTTAGAAACATGAAAATCAATCTTTTTCCAAAAGTATAGTTAGTTATTTTCCTATAATCTTACCTTCTTATCCCGTCATCATAAAAAAAATTTGTTAGATTTATGCAAAGGCATTTATAAACATTCCATGCCTCTTATTTCAAGCAAAGTCCAGCTTAATTTTAGAAAAAAAATTTTTCACTATTAACTAGCCAAATAGAATCAGTTATCCACTTTAATTTCATGCTAGCAGAACGTCCTGTATCAGTTAACCAGCTGTTTGTGATCACAGCTTTCCAGACTCCCCGGAGGAGATGCCAGACTACCCTCTTTTCATCTCTATCGGCGATTGGCTGGACTCCATCAAAATGAGCCAATATAAGAGCAACTTCCTGGCAGCAGGATACACTACTCTGGATTCTATTGCCACCATGAGTATAGAGTGAGTGGAGATAAATATATAGAGTGCTGATATGCAAAGATAGTGTAACATAATGTGCCTTAAACAAAATTAGAAATAAGACCTTTGTGATAACATTGTTTGGGGGGATATGCTGTTTATTCCATCTGTGGAGCCGCCCATGGAGTAGTGGTTTTAGTATTTTACTTCTGTACTAGGGCCCATGTTCACATCCTCATTGCTGCAGGAAGGGCATCTGGCATAAAAACATTGCTAAGTCTGATGACCAAATTATGTGACTTGCTTCGGTGGACCTTGAATAAAGAAAAAGCAAATAAACAGTTCATTCCATATTTTGTTTAAATCACCTCACTTCCATCATGTAGTGCAGGTAAAATTAATGACTTTTGTTATAGATGCAGATGCAGCATTGATGGGGTAATTCCAGAGACTTGGATTGTGCAGCTTAATGATCCTGCCACATTCAGGGACAGAAAAATGATTTGCCCTCGTCACTAGGGGACCAAAAGAAAATGGGCTTAAATGTTTGATCAACAGCCTCTTTGAGTTTTATTGGCTATAAAAACTGCCAACCATAAGTTTTGCTCTGATTTTAAAATTGTATAATTTTCCTTTTTATCTCCAGGGACATCAAACGTATTGGAGTCTGTTTGATTGGCCACCAGAGGAGAATCATAAGCAGCATACAGTCTCTCCGTCTCCAACTTCACCACATTCATCAGAGTGGATTTCAAGTTTGAGACCATTCCGTAAAGCCAGAATGTGTTTTTACACACTCAGCCTCTGCTCTGCATCATAATTCGACTAATTGCACAAACACCGGACTGTTAGGTGTTGCCAGTACCATGTGCTGCTCATAAGGGAGGGGTCTTGATAGAAGAATAGCGGCTGTCCAGATAATATCCATCCATCATCCTAAGTATCATATTTCAGACAGCTTCCACAACAGCCAACCTCTTTTAGCATTGGGCAAATGGGATATTTTTATTATCTCAGCAAGTACTAGCATCACTTGAATTTAGGACTTCATGTCTCTAGTGTATATTCAAGTGTTCACCAATACCTCTTATCTTTCCAAGTGACAATCCAATGGTTTCTATTGACTTTGAAAGGTGTCAAGTCAGTTACCTCATGACCACAGAAGATGAGGAGAGCATATACCATCTGGAGGCGTATGAGAAAATGTGTGGTTCTAAGATTTTCAACTGATTTAAAACAGCAAGTCCAAACAAGATTTCTAAACTGAAGACCACTGAATGTCAAGAGATTTTTTTTTTTTAGAAACTGTATGTTCTCTCCTCATGATAATGCAGTATGTCTTGTACAACAAGTCTTGTGAAAGTTGTATGTTTTATTCTATATGTTTCTTCCTTAATAAACAACTATATTTTAATTCTTTTTTTTTCTCCAAACCTTACGGAAAACTGTTTTGTCTTAGCCTTTTTGAAAATAATGCTCAACAATAAACAAAAGGTTTCAAAAACCTTCAACAAGATCCTCATACTACTCATTTAATGGTTCCCTGGGCATGAAGACCTACAAAGTAAGTTTGTGTTTGATAGAGTGCAATAATTTTACTAATCTTCTTTAATGCTTTGCTTTCTTTTTAACCAGAAATATGATGCAATATGCTGGGGTGGTGTCAGATTCAAGAACTTTGTAAGGATGTGATGATTTACACCTTAAACAAACAAGCCATTTACAAATTAAATAAAAGAAATGTTATTTTGAAATGAATTTCTCTGTCCATAAAACAACATTTCCAGAGTTTTCAAAGGTTAATAAGACTTTCTACAAAATACATGTAGTATGAGTTAGGATTCATGAATAAATAAAACCTTATTATTTCTATCTATCATTTTTATGGAAGCTTTTAAAAATTTCCAACACACTACCACAATACAGAGCCATCTGCTACAAACACACCTGTATGTTAAGCCATCGCAGCAGAGCAGACCCCTCTTTGCCTAACAACAGATTAACCAATCACGGTAGATTACTCTCGGGATGTCCCAAATTTCCGACATTCCAGAGAGAACGTGAACGTCCCTTCGGTTGCCCCGGTGATCCAATGGCAGACTGCACATATACAGGCAGTACAGTGGTCTCCCAGCAACGCAGTGTAAATACCTAGTTACTGCTCTTGTCCTGGGAGGATAAACGAGCATGAAAAGAGTTAACAGAAACATAAGTCTAATACCGGTTACCTAATATATATACTGAGACTGCATTTGTTGCACCATCGTAGCAACACGGCACGACAGAATTACAGGTAAATTACAGCTCTACTTAACAGTCTACGATAGGATAATACGCGCTAACGTTAGCGATATCGTGGCTAGGCTAACCACTGCGTTGTTAACAACAAGAACGGCACAAATACGTTTTGGTGGTTTATTTTTAAAATTGTATTGCATACAGATGAGAAAGGGGTAACGGAAGATCGGTGTGTTTTAGTATTTTCCTTTAAAACAATTTAGAGCAGTTAACTGTAACATAGCTAAAGGTTAGCATTGGCTTGCTAGCGACGAGCGCAGCAGCAAGAGATTAAATAGCTACTAGCGTGTAATAAATGCTTTCAAATCTGTTAAGAACAAACAATCACCTATGCCTAATGCGCTCGTATGTCCTATTTGAGATAAAATCACAACTTTAATTAGTTTTGAATACGATTATAAGAGAAATTATACGTTTATATTTGGTGCAAGAATAACTTTAAACAGGGTTTCTATTTAAGACAAATGATTAGTTTACTGGAGACACGAATTGCCATTTAAAACATTGTTCATTGGACAGTTGTATTGTATTTATTTATGTAAAATATTTTTATGTATGTATAAAATAGCTATTTTTGCACTGCTGTTTATAAAGAGGTGTCCAAGCAGTAAGCAGTTCGATATTTAAAATATCAAAATCTAATTCTTGAAGTAAGGAATTGTGATTTTTTTTCTTGTCTTTTTTTTAAACCATAAAGACATATAGGTTACAGATAAATTTCTATTTGTTTTTCTTAGAAGAGATCCTAACTGTAAAAAAATGCTGCTAAATCATACTCTGATTTAGAATACACTGGGCCATTCTTTATAAAAGTCAGCGGAATAATGTCTTTCCTCTAAACTTTTTAGCCAGTTTGATATTGTATAATGACTGTGATTCACAATCTGATGCACTTAACTCACTTTATCTCACTACATATTCATTTTAACAGAGAAGAGGGAATAGTGGTAACGCTTTCTTTTACAGTACATCAATAACCATGTAATAACATGGTAATAAGAAAGAAAAGATGACTGAGTAACCTGTTAATAACGGTTTGACATCCAAGAAGTTTGACTTAACCTTGTTTGCTTACAATTTGAAGCACAACACTTACCAAAATTCTCCATAAAGTGTTTCTTGTTACCTAGTAATATAGTATCACTTGCTATGTTATTAACATTGTATAACATGCTTATTGATGTACTGTAAAAGACAGTTTTACGGGAGTAGTTTTGTTGGAATCCAAAAATTGGACAAGGAGCTTAAAGGAATAGTACACCCAAAACATGATTAGCCTTCATTTTCTACTCACCCCCATGCTGAACAACACTCTGGAGTACTTTTTTGATATCTCAAATGCATCTGGAGATCTGGGAGGCTTCTTGCTGTCTGCTGACATTCAAATAATGGAGGTCTATGGTGACCGAGACAGAAAGGTCCATAAAAGTCCACAAAAAACGTGTCAATATTCCACCATACTGCTCGTCCAATGTATTCCAAGTGTCCTGAGTGGGTAGCATCCAGAATTTACTCGAAACAAAGTCATTTAGAATGTTTTTAGAGCATAAACAGTAGTGTATAGGACTTCCTGAAAGCGCGCACATGGGCGCTCACGACGCTACGGAAGCCGGCAGACCAAACCAGCGCATTCAGCTCGGCAAAGAACTCATGCTCTTCCTCAACACTGAAGTCCTCAGACATTTTTCTTTCGTTGTTTCTTTCTTTGCACAGGTAAACAGCACATTTCTTCTTCTACGCTTGCATTATTGGCAGAGCAGACGCTGAATGCGCACTTTCATCTGGTTTGGTCTGCCGGCTTCTGTAGCGTCGTGAGCGCGCATGTGCGCGCTTTCAGGAAATCCTATACACTACTGTTTATGCTCTAAAAACATTCTAAATGACTTCGTTTCGAGTAAATTCTGGATGCTACCCACTCAGGACACTTGGAATACATTGGACGAGCAGTATGGAGGAATATTGACACGTTTTTTGTGGACTTTTATGGACCTTTCTGTCTCGGTCACCATAGACCTCCATTATTTGAATGTCAGCAGACAGCAAGAAGCCTCCCAGATCTCCAGATGCATTTGAGATATCAAAAAAGTACTCCAGGGTGTTGTTCAGCATGGGGGTGAGTAGAAAATGAAGGCTAATCATGTTTTGGGTGTACTATTCCTTTAAGCCTGTTGCCTACAGACTCAGGGCTGGGTTTTGGTGTGTGTGTGTATTTAGTTTTATGGCTGAGTAAATGTGGCTCTATAAAGAGCTTTGAGTGGTCACTATGAGCAGTAAAGCACTATACTTATTCAGTCAATTTACTTTAATTTAGAATAAACCTGTTGCATGTGATTATTCCAGTTGGAAAGCTATTATAATACGTACATTGGCCTTTTATCCACTGTCTTCTAGTACTTAATATATTTGGCCTGTTAGATAGACTTAACCAGCTCACATCTTTTTGAATTTTAGTATCACAGACACTGACTAGAGGGAGGGCACATAACAAAAAAAGTAAAAAAGTGAGTGAGAGAAATCCAGCTTTATCAAATCCAATAACCCCATTCATCGGATCTGAGAAAGTGTGATCAACATTTGCTTATTTTAGATTTGTTTTCTCTACTTTACCTCTTTTAATTAATTTATTATTTCTATTTACAAACCTTTTTTTTTTTTCTTTGAAGATCAGGCACACATCTGATGTTTGCTGGCTAGCCAATGGGACTATTTGACAAGTTGGTTGGATGGCTGAGGTTAAAGAAGGAGGTAAATGTGCTGTGCCTCGGTCTGGACAACAGTGGAAAAACCACCATCATCAACAAGCTCAAGCCATCCAATGTAAGTTTCTTTGTTGACCCATTGATATGCATGATTTAGTGACGTATGTTGTCCATGTTCATCACTGGTTTTGAATTTGCAGTCCTGTTTATTATTTCCACCAAAATTATCTGAAAAAAAAACTGTTCTCTTTAATGACATTGAAATACATTTCCTCTCCTAAAGCTTCTCCTAAATAAAAAAAATGTTTTATTTTAGGCCCAGGTACAAGACATTGTTCCAACAATTGGCTTCAATATAGAGAAGTTCAAGACGTCCAGGTAGATGCATAATGCCACTTGATAAAAGTTCAAACTTATTATATTATAAACTTATTCCAAATTGATATTTTCTGCTACTAAATAAAATGGCATGTACTCTATTTAACAAATCACAGCCTTTTAATGAAAAGTAATTAAAAGAAAAATCATTCTGTTTTTCAGTCTCTCATTTACAGTATTTGATATGTCCGGTCAAGGCAGATACAGGAATCTTTGGGAGCATTACTTCAAGTGAGTGCTCACATACAGATTCATTTCTTTTTCTTTCCCCATTTTCTGTGATCTATATTTTAACCCTGTTACTCTCCTTTCAGGGAAGGGCAAGCAATCATATTCGTCATTGATAGTGCAGACAAGCTAAGAATGGTTGTGGCCAAAGAAGAATTGGATAATTTATTAAATCATCCAGGTAAAATCTGGTTTCTGACTTGTTGTGCCTCCCGAGGTTCTTGTGCAGTGGTCAGTCTAGAATGCACAAGTATGTTTATATGAGGTTTGCATTGTAAACCACTCTTCAGAACCCGTATTAGACATTGCATTGGTGTAAACAAGATTATTATTATTATTTTTTTTTTTTTTTTTACAGTGTCCTGTCTGGCAATGTGGCAATAAGAATAATTGTCTTGATGCCAAAAAGAGCCCAACAGATTTTACTTTCACAAGTGTAGCAGTATGGCATCTCAATTGGTGTAAACAAGATTAATACATTTCTTTTGTTTAAACTCTGCTCCCCCGTCTTGCCGCAGATATCAAACACAGGAGGATCCCCATCCTCTTCTTTGCTAACAAGATGGACGTTAGAGATGCGCTGTCTTCTGTCAAGGTCTCACAGCTACTCTGTTTGGAGAACATCAAAGACAAACCCTGGCATATCTGGTATGAACATATTTAAACAATCCAAAATGTCATAATCCTTAAACGGTTAATAAGGCAAGCATTAAATCCCAGTCATTGGAGAAAGCATGTCATAGATATTGATAATGTTGCTTTGGATAGTTTGTTAAGTGCTTTTCTGAGTGATTTTGCTGAGTTGTCTGGGTAATTTTCAGAACAAATTTGTTGATGTTTTCCAGTGCCACTGATGCTATCAAAGGAGAAGGTTTACAAGAAGGAGTCGACTGGTTACAAGGTATGGGACTTGATATTCACAAATGAAAGTGTGCAGACTGTAGCGCAGATTGTTTGTCCTTTTTCTCTAGATTAACATGAGAACTGCAATATAGCTTGTGCTCTGATGACCTCCATTTATAGCTTTTAAATGCTAGTAAAGCAATAACATTAATTCTGTAGACAATCGGCCAAGTTTCCACTAATATTCCCTATGGATTCGTTGATGATTAAAAATGGTAAAGCTGGTTTAGGTGATGATCATGTACAGGTGCTGGTCATAAAATTAGAATATCATGAAAAAGTAGATTGATTTCAGTAATTCCATTTAAAAAGTGAAACTTGTATATTATATTCATACATTACATACAAACTCATATATTTCAGATGTTTATTTTGTTTAATTTTGATGATTACAAATGACAACAAATGAAAATCTCAAATTCATCATATCAGAAAATTAGAATATTGTGAAAAGGTTCAAAATTGATGGCCCCTGGTGCCACACTCTAATCAGCTAATTAACTCAAACCACCTGCAAAAGCCTTTAAATGGTCTTTCAGTCTAGTTCTATAGGCTACACAATCATGGGGAAGACTGCTGACTTGACAGTTGTCCAAAAGACGACCATCGACACCTTGCACAAGGAGGGCAAGACACAAAAGGTCATCGCTAAAGAGGCTGGCTGTTCACAGAGCTCAGTGTCCAAGCACATTAATAGAGAGGTGAAGGGAAGGAAAAGATGTGGTCGAAAAAAGTGTACAAGCAAGAGAGATAACCGCACCCTGGAGAGGATTGTGAAACAAAACCCATTCAAAAATGTGGGGGAGATTCACAAAGAGTGGACTGCAGCTGGAGTGAGTGCTTCAAGAACCACCACACACAGACGTATGAAAGACATGGGTTTCTGCTGTCGCATTCCTTGTGTCAAGCCACTCTTGAACCACAGACAGCGTCAGAAGCGTCTTGCCTGGGCTAAAGAGAAACAGGACTGGACTGCTGGTGAGTGGTCCAAAGTCATGTTCTCTGATGAAAGTAAATTTTGCATTTCCTTTGGAAATCAAGGTCCCAGAGTCTGGAGGAAAAGAAGAGAGGCACTTCATCCACGTTGCTTGAAGTCCAGTGTAAAGTTTCCACAGTCAGTGATGGTTTGGGGTGCCATGTCATCTGCTGGTGTTGGTCCATTGTGTTTTCTGAGGTCCAGGGTCAACGCAGCCACATACCAGGAAGTTTTAGAGCACTTCATGCTTCCTGCAGCTAACCAACTTTTTGGAGATGCAGATTTCATTTTCCAACAGGACTTGGCACCTGCACACAGTGCCAAAGCTACCAGTACCTGGTTGAAGGACCATGGTATCCCTGTTCTTAATTGGCCAGCAAACTCTCCTGACCTTAACCCCATAGAAAATCTATGGGGTATTGTGAAGAAGACGATGCAATACACCAGACCCAACAATTCAGAAGAGCTAAAAGCCACTATTAGAGCAACCTGGGCTATCATAACACCTGAGCAGTGCCACAGACTGATCGACTCCATGCCACGCCGCATTGCTGCAGTAATACAGGCCAAAGGAGGCCCAACTAAATACTGAGTGCTGTACATGCTCATACTTTTCATGTTCATACTTTTCAGTTGGCCAACATTTCTATAAATCCTTTGTTTTTATTGGTCTTCAGTAATATTCTAATTTTCTGATATGATGAATTTGAGATTTTCATTTGTTGTCATTTGTAATCATCAAAATTAAACAAAATAAACATCTGAAATATATGAGTTTGTATGTAATGTATGAATATAATATACAAGTTTCACTTTTTAAATGGAATTACTGAAATCAATCTACTTTTTCATGATATTCTAATTTTATGACCAGCACCTGTATGATATCCTTGGGAGAAATAAGTTGGTGAGGGTTTTAAAGGAGTTTGATCAGATGGCACAGAAGCTCCAGTGCTTTAGATAATAGTTAACATTTTTTCATGTGTCTCTAAATGTCAAGTAAAGCATTTCTGTCTCAAAGCTGATTTTCAAACATGACAACAAGGATTTAGAAAGTTGCTTTTATTTATTTGGATACTTAATACCCCAATCTGCTAAAATCCCCTAAGCAGCTGTCCTTATACCTAATTAACCCAGTGCTGCTGTTCATGCGTGTTATCTGGTGTAACAGCAGCTGTTCAGATCAGTTCCATACCTGCTCTGAAAAAAGATACTTTGAATCAACTTTTAAAAATCGCTGCAATTTGTTACACTTACATTTATTACTTTTTCTCAAATTTAATTCATGAGATGGCTGAAAAGTATACATTTTGATTAATTAGAAATATGTTTGTTACCTTCAGACAAAGAAAGAATGCATTTATACAAACTAAAACTATAACTCGTAACAGATCAAAAACGAGTTTTTTTTTATAAATTCATATTTTAATTTGGGAAAAAAATTCAGGCACAAAAAAAAATTACATAAAAGTATAAATTTACTTTGGAACAAAATAGTGACAAACATTTAAAATTGTATTTCTTTGGTCCGACTATATTTATTGACCACAGACACAGGATTTATAAACATTATACCTTAGAGCTGGACTTTTAGTTTTTGAAATTAACTTTGTAGTTGTATCCTGTTGTTGGTTTTGAAACAACCTAAAGAACCTGAAATACGTCAGAGTTCTTAAAATCAACTGCAAATATTATCTGAGACATTTCACTGAATGACTACAATGTCTCCTGCTGTATCATACAAATAAATAGCTGGGAAATTATATATTGTGATTTCTAGATTTTTTTTTTTTATATCACAGTGAACATGCTCCTGCAATGACTATTTCTGACCCCTTCATGATTTCTAAGTGGGAGAACTTGCAAAACAGTAGTTCAAATACTTATTTTCCTCACTACAGATATTTATTTGGCAACTAATTGTTTCAGTTCATTTTTAATTCCAGGCAAAGTTAAATGATTAGTTTCATACCACAAATACAAATTTTAAAGTTGGAATAACATAACAGTGTAAGTAGACCAAATGACATGGACATTTTACTTCTTCCAGTGAGCTGTAATACTTGGATTTTATGTCTTGCAGCTCAGCCAGACCTCTGTTTAAAGTGGCAGATTAAGGGGTTGGAATGGCTGTGGGTTAAGAACAGATATAACATTGAGAAGTTGTTTTAAACTTAAAATTCAAGTACTTTTTACCCAATTCAAGTTTATCAGTTTATTATAAGTTGAATTTGTGTCTTTTTTGGCCTTTTTTACCTTGTTACTGCAATCCTAATATAACGGTATTTTAAGATTAACGACTTCTTTATGTTTTTATATACAAGGCATATTCATGTAAATAATATTTATTAAATTATCCAAGAATGTCAGTTTCTTTTTCTTCTATGTTTTATTTTGCCTTCATTCATATTCTCCCATAGATCAAATTATGCAGTGAGTACTTATCTTGTTTTTTTAAATGCTGTTGATGATTTTGTTGAGCTTTAGTTGTTTAAGACTTAGAAGTTGTAGCCTTAACCATGTTTTTGTTTCGTGAGTAGGTGAGTTTACATGATGCCACCTTTTCAGTGTTTTCCAGTGTGTGAATTCCTATGTGTACTGTATACGATAGTTTGATAGTTTTAATATGAAACCCATGAAGTGACACCGGTGTCTGAAGGGTATTGAAAGCAAGTTTAGTGTATTCTTGGTAACAGTTTTCAGTCAAAGTGTAAACCCTACATCCTTCTGACAATCCAGAGAATTCATAGCAACATCTGTCAATTATTCATATGACCCTTTTTCCCTTTTTCTAGATCAAATCAAAACAATGAGAACGTGAGCGTGTGAGGAGCGACCACCAGACCCGACAGCAGGATTCACAGATGTTTTGTGAAAGATTGGTTGACTTTTTAAAAATAAAGCATTAATTAGAATTTATCCCGCTTCTGATCACATACCGTACTGTATTTAGTTGAGTCTTTGACCAGAGGCCCGTACCACGAAGCGAGCTAGAGGTATCTGGATGACTTCCAGTCTATCCAGTTTAACCAATCCACAACAATGGCAATCAGGATCAGTGGTACCATGAAGCTGGTTATAAACTTGTTAACTCGCATATATAAAGGTTCAACGTAGCAGACCAATCACATTCATGAGTGCAGAACGGACAGCGCTGTATTTCTCCTTTTAGGAACAAAACTATCGTATAGAAATAAGAAGTGAGATAAAAAAAACAAGTCTCAGTGAAAAGTCAAACATGGTGGCGATATCAAAGAGCCGCCAAATAACGTGGGAAAGGGTTGCTACCTGCTTAAATGTGCAAATTACACATCAGTGACATCCCAATCACTGTACTGCATTTTAATTGCGGCTCATCCCTCAGATGTAACCTCTCAGGAGTGAAGAGGACTTGGGAGCAGAAAAAGATAAAGTATAAAACTTTATGTCATCTGGTTAGTTGGACTTTTTAATTCAATAATGCTTGGGCTACAATAAAGCTGGAAGCTGATGCCACGGTTGCATCATGTTAATACAAGGAGTGATCAGTCTGAGTGAAGTCATTCTGATTTTTGAGCTGTGTGAGAACTCAGATGAAACAAATGGCAGAAAATCTACTCTTCTTTTAAAAAGTGAAAGCCCTCAAACACCATTCATCCCTAAATGTACAGAAATACCTCAATATCTTCTCTACTAAAATATATGCTATATAGGATTCAGATCAATCCTGGAAGCTAGCCTGACTGTTCAGGGTAAGTTACCATGGTAACATGCCCTGCTAATAATGAATCCGTTTCCAGCGTACTGTAAAGTCAGGGTTTAACATGAAATTACTTTGTTAAACTGGTAAACCTGCTTCATGGTAAAGGCCTCAGTTAAACTGGTAAGAGATATTCACAAAAAGGTATTTGGCAAATGTTTTTGATTTTTCTTATACAGTTTGAGGGTTGACATTTTTTATTGTTCCAGTAATTATTGCTTAATATTAAGGACATTAGGGGTAATGCTTGAAAGCCATTCTGTCCCCTCTATATTTGGTACACTATGTGACTCAAACTACTATGGCTTTATTTTGTTAATTCAGTCACATATTTACCTTCTGGGTGTGACATCCAAGCTTTTTCAACTTTCCATTTTTTGAAGTGTATGTACAGACCAATTGCCAAATGTTTATTTGTTTTTTGTTTTTTTATCTCATAGCGGTCTGACAATGCATTTTGTTTTATTATTTATAATCATGTTCCTTCTAATTCCCACTCACCTCCTACCTCTTGGCCAGTACTCCCTTGAGAAGGTGATTTTTATTCTCAATCTGAGTTACACCTGGATAAAAATTAAAATAAAAATCTGAGGAAAAAATGCTAAATGTGTTTCCAACAGCTGCCTTTTGCTAATCTCCATAGGTGGATGTCGTATGGCACCTTACGACTGCGGCTTATTTAATAATTATTTTTAAGCAAATTTTATTTAGAAGACAAAGGAAACAGACAATAGATAAAATATTTGACTGAAATAAAAGGATAGGCTAACTGCTAACTGATCCATTTTAGGATAGTATGCTTGCATTAGAATAAAGCAAACAGCTCTAATTTGGTCAAATTGTCTTTTACAGATATTAAGTTAGTAAAGAAACAAATGTGAATTTAGTGTGTAAAAATTGCTGATAAAAGTCAGAATGTGGGTTTATAAAGCTAAATTCCAGCTAATTATATTTTTGCCTTGTTTTATTCCTAACAAGCAAGATGTAATCATTCAAAATGCTACTTTCTGGTTTAGTCGCAGTATGCCCATGAATCAAAGGCAAAGTACAAAGCATAAAATTACAGCCTGTACAAAGATTTTTTTTTCAAGTCTTTGATCTTTTCATGTTGTGTGTCTGACCTAAAGCTAGCTATAAAACCAGTCTGTTTTGTTTCAATTAAGGCATGTAATCTCAACCCAGCTTTATAAAAAAAAGTTAATTTTTCTGTTTTTAAGTCTCTTTTTTATGGAAAATGATCAGAAAACAAGGATTTTTTACAATTTATTTTACAGTATTAAGCCTGGTTACATTTATTTGAAAAGCTGGTCTTTATTTCAGTCCTCTGTTTATCCTTTAAAAGGTTGGTGAATTGTGGCACAACGTTTTTATTATTTCAGAAATGCAGAATAGAAACTATGTTCTCTATTGCAGTCATTTTCAAAGCGTTTTCCCCTGTTCTATGCTAAGCCTCTGAAGAACTGTTCTGCAAATTCTGATATGGAAAGAAATGCTTTGGTTTGACTAAATTAGTGTGTGTGATTCCAAATCTTGAAAATAACCTGTGAAATTGCTGCTACCTAAAAAAAAATAAAATAAAAATATGTTTTTGCAGTTTAGCACTCAGAGAAAACTTTTAAGGGTTTGTTTAGATATTTAGAAAACAGATGTTACAAGGTCTGTGATAGTTGTTAAGCAAGAATAACAATGTATTTTAATTTAAATTAGTTCTTTAAACTTTTATTTCTGACAGTCACATGATGTTTTTTGTTTTGAAGAGCTGGTGCACCTTAGTTTCTCATCACATACATCTGCAGGCCTTTTTTAAAGCTTTAACCAAAACTATCCCAATCCTGCTCACAGTGATAGTAAAGACCATGTGAATTTGTAATATTTCTGTGTCTAAAATATTTTAGATTTTCTGTATGAGGTTAAGTCAGTATCCTGTAGCCCTTCGTATCTGTAGGTCAACAGAGTCCCTGTGTAATTGCATTTTATATTTTAAGCGAGGTAAATTCTTACATCCAATGCTCAAACTGCATCTTTAAATACATAATCTTTAATGCAACTGTGTTTTAATTTTTGAACAATAAAATTTGTGAAACTAAGTCTTGCCTCTTTGTAGTTAATGTTCAGGTTTGATGTTTATATATCATATACTGTTCGGAACCTCGTGATCTTTTAGTCTCTCTTCCTCTCATTCTGTCTCTCTTGAAGAAATTTTGTAAGCTGCCAGCAACAGCTGCTCATTAAACCACAAGTCCTTTGGCTCTGAACAGCATTTGGTTGAATGTAATCAAGTTACAGATTTTGAAATGTTTTATCTGAAGCTGTAATACAATATTGTCATATTAATTGCATGTGCTTTTTAAGTGCATCAGGCATATACTGTATGACATATGGGATTATTATTATCAAATGAACCAGATGCCAGATTTAAGATTCACTTACTGATTTAGAAATGTCTCAAGGTTCTGCACCAAACATCTGTCCAACATTTAGTTAGCACACTTTACAGCTGTTCACTGGATGTTCAGGTTTTTTTTTTTTTTTTTGCAACAATGTTTTACAGATTCATTCGTTGGATGTCAAATATACTCTAACTTCATTCTGATTCAGTAACTGAAGCATAAAAAACATCTATAAAATTGTAAGCATGTAACATAAGAAAAAGATTAAAATATGCTACCATAGAAGCAAGCATAATCCCCTTTGCTACTGTGACTATTAAATAATAATTTTAAACGTAGGTGGTGAATTCAGATGGTTTTGGAAATGGTCGCAAAGGTTTGAAAAATAAAGCTTCATATTGATTAGGATAACACTGTATTTGAATTATTTTGAAATTTCTATTTCACATTTTTTTTCTGTTTAGTTGATGGTTGTTTATTCATGGAAAAGTATTTTGCACATGCAGGTTATCTTTCATCTAAATGTGAATACCCAGTCGATATTATTTAGTTATTAACTCTGTATAAAACAAATGTCAAACATCAAAATAAGTTTAGAAAATAATATAATAATGCTATCATAGCAATTATATCTCTAGCCGGTCTTCTCAAACGATTTCCTTTTTTAATCACCTTTGTCATTAATAGCAACCTTGACCTGTAGTACGCATTGCACTCTGTCCATGGTGCTGAATCGCCCTGTTTGCCTTGTCAAAAGAGGGCGCTGCGCGTTTACCAGTTTACCATGGCGAAAACACGACATTTTCCAGGACATAGCTCCTTTTTTTCATCCAGTCGATGTGCCTGTGTCTGTGTGCAGGATTTTAAAAAGTCAGATTGTATCATTATACCTCACTGCATGTTTCAGACCCATCCTAATTGGATGCCTGCCAGTTTCGACAAGTCTTTTCCAGATAAATGGACTGCAGGCTGAAGTGGCCATTAAGTAGACAGAGCTCACAGATAAAAATCCTGAAGGCAAAAGGCAGACATACATTTAAGAATGGTCTAATTGCTTCAAGGTGGGGAGTGTATTAGTCGATGAATTCGTTTAATCACGGAGAAAAAGGAAAATCATGTATTTCTCCTTGAGCGTGTGTTCATAATTACTGGTTAAATGTTTAAATAAAGTATTCATCTTCACATAGTTTTATCACGAAGAAATGGGGATGCGTTTAGGTCATCCTTCAGTTATACAAAGAAAAATAAAGAGTTCCCCTGAATTGCACAGCATGCGGTTTTTACGCACGGACTTTTGAGAAAGAAGACGTTTTTTTTAAACAAGAAAAAAACGAACAGACACAAACTTCCTAGCAAATTACTGATTATTTAAAGAACGATGCGACATTTTTAACAACCTTCTCCGAAAAGCAGGTTAAGGAATCTCGGCCCTCTGCCAGTAACATCAGCCAGGACGTCGTGACGTGTTGCATGCCAGGTGCTCTTTTGGAGGGACGGGTGTTTTTTTTTTTTTTTTTTGTGACGCGTGCCTCGGTCCTCTGACGGCATCTACCCCCTTTATAAGCATCAGTAAGTCACCCGAGAGATCCTCACCGCTGTTTCGCCTCACAGTTTCTCACGGTACAAAAAGGGCAGCGGAATTTCAATGAACTTTATACTGTGATGCACATTTTTATTTACTCCGGTGTCCACACGCATGACTGGAAATACCCTAGGTAAGTAGGTCTGTAATTATTTTATTTATTTTATTTATTTTATTTAAAGAAAGAAAGAAAGAAAGAAAGAAAGAAAGAAAGAAAGAAAGAAAGAAAGAAAGAAAGAAAGAAAGAAAGAATTCTGTGCGTAAAATGGATTTTACGCAAAGAATTTATGCACGATTTTAAGCTGTAATCTAAAACTACAAAAAACTAGAACAGGCTTTTCTTATGAAAACATTTTTTATATAGGTAATGATAGAGCTGCCAATTCGTATCATGAATAATCTTAATATGAACTCCGTCTTTAGGCTAAAGGTGAAACTTTTATCATCTCTTATAGAATTTATTTTTCTCCTCTGCTTTCAGGTCTTCCTGCCCTCCCGTTCCAAGCAGAAGACCCCTGCGACAATGACCATCCATGTAGAAGGGCTCGTAGCCATCGCGGTCTTCTATCTGCTCATCCTGGTCGTGGGCATCTGGGCGGCATGGAAAAACAAGCACTCCGGGGAGGCGGAGGGCACCGACCGCAGCGAAACCATCATGGTCGGAGGGAGAGACATTGGGCTGTTTGTTGGTGGATTCACGATGACAGGTGAAGTTTGTGTAAATAGAATTAAATACTTTTAAAAGTCGTGACCTGTTTGCTGTAGTCTTGTTGTATATTTGATGCATATATTTTTCATTTAGTAGAGGGGGATTTTCAAAGTTACCGTAAATGTTATCTATTGCACCTGTTATGTATTGCACCTGTATAACCAAATGATTTATTGTGTTTAGAAGTTTAACTAAAATAATTATAATTAGTAGATTTTTTTTTCTAGGAAAAGTTTAATTTTAATCACATTTAACAATATGTTTGATAATCTGCAGCAACCTGGGTAGGTGGAGGGTATATCAATGGCACAGCTGAGTATGTATATCTACCGGACTATGGTTTGGCTTGGGCTCAAGCCCCATTTGGATATGCCCTCAGTCTGGTTGTTGGTGAGTTTCAAGTATTTTTTTGTTGTTTGTTATGCATGAAAAATGTAATTCAATTCATAAAAATTGATTTGGGGAAAAAATACAGTTACTAGCCAAAGGTACCAAAGGTATTCAATTGAAGTATTTTTGGGTTTTTTCTATTTTATTGTATTTTATTATTATTATTGGTTATGTGATTATTTATTTATTTTTTGTTTGCATTCTGAAGTTTTAAAACATAGCTATAAAATGTATTTTTATCAACCGACACTCCTCCCTCTTAATCCCAGGGGGTCTTTTCTTTGCTAAGCCCATGCGTTCAAGAGGTTACGTCACCATGTTGGACCCTTTCCAGCAACTGTATGGGAAACGTATGGGTGGTCTTCTCTTCATACCTGCACTCATGGGTGAGATTTTTTGGTCTGCTGCCATCCTGTCTGCCCTGGGTAAGTCTATGCATCTGCATACAATGGAATAAAACTTTTGTAGAGATGCTTTGAAATGAGTCCCTGTTTTTACAAAGTTCTTTATGTTTTTCAATCTGTTCACAATCATAGGTGCTACTCTGAGTGTTATTGTGGACATCAACATCAAGATGTCTGTGGTTATCTCTGCACTCATTGCGATCTTCTACACCCTGGTTGGAGGACTGTACTCTGTGGCTTACACAGATGTGGTGCAGCTGTTTTGCATATTTATTGGCCTGGTAGGTTCAGTTTGTCTAATTTTGTATAGTGGTCAGTTTTCTCAGAATTATGGGGTAAATTACAAAGAAATTATTTTGTACATTTTATTACCAGTTGTGGAAATGTTTCATGTAATCTCCAATTTTTATTATAAATTACTTCGTAGAAGCCAAGCTTTCTTGTATTTATTTGAATGTATCCTGATTAATAGCACTTAAGGATATCATAAAGTGCTTACAAGTCTTCGGTTTTCACTGTCTTTTTACTAATTTTTTTAAAAGTTTTTTCAGTAAAACATTGAATATAAGTTATACAGACATATGTTACTGTAGTGTAGTATTTCAACCGCAAAATTATGCTCCTGAAATGGTTTTTTTTCTGAAATGTTAGCATACAAAGTTGATTAAGTGAGAAATTATTTTTCAATTTCAGTGTCAAGTCATCTGATGGATTTTCCTTTGTTAAAAATTCCAAACAAGGTTTTTCTGGCCCTTATTCAACCTTTTTCTTTGTTTTTATGCAAACATTTCAGAGAAAGCTGCCATGACACACAGACCGAGTAGAATGAGCATATATACTATGATCATAAAAGCAGCAAGAAAGTGAAAGACAACATTTAAATAGCTTCAGAAAGTTAAAGAAATACTGACATAGATCATTGTACAAGGTCACATGTGTCCCTAAAAAGACATAAGTATTTTTTGCCTTTTTTATTACAGTCCTGTGTGGTATCTCTTCCGGTTTTAAGTTTGTGATTTTCCTGCGTATTTGCTGATTTTCTGCAGTGGATCAGTGTGCCCTTTGCTTTGACTAATGCTGCTGTGTCAGACATCAGTGTAACTGCAGTGACGAGAGTTTACCAGTCGCCCTGGAGAGGCAGCATCAAGAGGGAAGATACATGGATCTGGATTGACAACTTCTGTCTTCTGGTAATGTCTGCATACTTTTATTCAAGCGAAATTTTTATACTCTTATTTGCTTACTTAACCATAGATATCTACAAGCAACCCTGTCATGTTTTCTTTCTCTTTTATTTTTTTTTCTTGATTTGGATCCTTCAGACTTGTCCATTCTTATTGGTTTTCCCCTATTTACAAAAAACTTAATCTTGTCATACTGTAGATATCTGTTTTTACTTGTTGTCAGAAACTTTTTCTTTTAGTAAAAATATGCTATGGTATCTAAAATAGTATCAAGTAATTTTCCCAGTATTGGTACTGAATTTGACATTTTAGCATTGTGACAACCAAGGTCATCGTACAGTTTTCCACCTAATTATAAAAATAAACATTTGAAAAGTGTGACACAAATTTGTATTCAGACCTCTTGAATTTGATGTGCCTAAATAAAATATGTTGCTCTTAGTTTCCATTTGGCTTCAGTTAAAATAGAAGCACTTTGCTGGCTTTATTGACCTATAATGTTTTGATTAAATTGTTGATTATAGCTAGCAATTGTTTATTACATAAATTAGATTGCTGTGCAGTTTAATGCATTGTGCGATTATCCTGTTAGACCCACCGTGTAGACTGGATTAAAGAAAAGAGCTTTCCTTTTCTCCAATTAATTGTCCATTTGACGTTCAAAATATACTGTCCTCAAATCCTCTTCTTGAGCTATTTATACATTCTTTCTGTTTCATTCTATTATTTTTCTTTTGTTATTCAAAATTAATAGTATATGAAAAATAGGATCGATTTGTGACTTTGAAGCCTTCAGTTTTCTTTCTGTTTTGGCAATCCTGGACATCTGATTTCAGTATTTTTTCCCCTGTGATTGTCATGTTGCAGATGCTGGGAGGAATACCTTGGCAGGTATATTTCCAAAGAGTGTTATCTGCCTCTTCCGCCACCTACGCACAGGTTCTCTCATTCCTGGCTGCTTTTGGATGCCTCGTCATGGCCGTTCCCTCTGTTCTCATCGGTGCCATTGGTGCCTCAACAGGTTGAAAACATGCATGAGCATTCACATACACACCCTGTGGTCCCATGTGTGCTGCTTCGCTAGTAAAGGCTCTGGAAGGGTTCTTGTTGTCCTTAGATCTAAGAAAACCTGGTAAATAACAGCTGGTTCATCTCATCTATAATGAAGCAGCCAACCATTAAATGGCGGTGCTAGGTTGTAAATATTGCATTAGAATTAGGCAGGGGAGCAAATTAGTGCTGTGATCTCCAGATTTTTAGGAATCTGATTCCTCCAGGATGAAGTGATGACAAGTTTATTTCATTCCAATATGGGAGCAAACTGTACATGAATGAATTGGCTCAAAATTTGGATCATAATCCCAATCATGTGGCCTTCAGACTAGCAGGAGAACTCTGTGTTTGCACCTTGATTATATTCTTTTGTTGCACAGCTACTTCCACGTTGTACATCCCAGAGTCCAATGAAAGGCATTGGATCCAATGAATCACAGATTTTAGAACATCTGAGAGACCACGTTTAAGATAACTTTGACTTTGAGCCAGTGCATCTAATGCAAAATCTGACTTTACAAATGCATTTATGGAGGACTCATCAAATACTGAGCTTCTAAATCTTTTCTTTTTAACTGCTGGAGCTGTGGAAATTTTACCAGTGGGATATTAAAGCCTTTGAATAAGTTATTGGTTTTCATTTAAGGTAATAAGTGTATGTAGTCAATAATTGGCAATATAGCATATAAGCACATGAATTTTTCACTAGAAAAAAAATCAGCATTCTTGCAAACAAGAGGAACCAGTCCTCTGGATGAGTTTTAATGATTGTGCGAATAGAAATAATGAAAGCGTCTCCTTCTTGATCATCTCAAATCATGTAAAATATTAGACCAGGCTAAACCCTAGTTTGTGTAAGTGTAGCATCTGTTATTTTGTTCAAATATATATTGTAAATTTGTAATATGACTTTTTTTCTCCACTAAATAAATATTCCTGAATAGAATTCAAAATAAAGCGGATAACAGGGATAAAGGAGGCTTTAGATTCTATTGGACTTGAACATTTAAGTTTAAGATTATACACGGAAATGCCATTCTAATTTTCAAATGAACAATTCCTATCATAAAAAAAAAAGAAACTCAGACTATTTATCTGGGGCGTGCTTCTGTGCGCAGTGGTTAGCATGCACAACCCATGAACAGATGCCTTAGTCCTCGATGTGTCCAACCTTAGTTCGAAACCGGCCTGTGGTCCTTTGCCGCATGTCTCTCCCCCTCTCTTGTAGCCCCTTTCCTGTCAGCTTTAATGAGCCACGGTTGCCGCAAAAACCTCAAAAAAAAAAAAAGAATGAGATTATCTGTTAGATATCTTGACGTGATTTTTCTTTATTAGACTGGAATCAGACAAGTTATGGTGGAATTTCTCCTGAGGAAAAGGAGCAAGCAGACATGATTCTCCCCATCGTACTCCAGCACCTCTGTCCACCATTTGTTTCTTTCTTTGGCCTGGGGGCAGTGTCTGCCGCTGTCATGTCCTCTGCTGACTCCTCCATCCTGTCTGCAAGCTCTATGTTTGCAAGAAACATCTACCAGATGGCCTTCAGACAATCAGTAAGCCCATTGGTTCAAGAACATAAGCAAGGAATTGGTTTCTGTTTACCTCTTTTTGAAGATTTCTTGTGGTTTACTGCTGTTCTCCATCTTTCCAGGCATCTGACCGAGAAATTGTGTGGGTGATGCGAATCACAATTTTCATATTTGGTGGCCTTGCCACCCTGATGGCCCTGGTTACTGGCACAGTTTATGGCCTCTGGTACCTGAGCTCAGACTTGGTTTATGTCATCATCTTCCCACAGCTGCTCAGCGTGCTCTTTGTCAAATGTACCAACACGTACGGCTCGGTGGCTGCATACCTGTTTGGCCTGGTGCTGCGTATCGGCGGAGGAGAACCCTATCTGCAGCTGCCTCCTTTCATTTATTACCCAGGCTGGACAACGGAGCTGCGGAAGCATCACATCACTGGGGAGATGGAGACAATTGTCATTCAGAAGTTCCCCTTTAAGACCGTCTCCATGCTGGCCTCCTTCGCGGGTAACTTTGTTTTCTCGTACCTGGCAAAGTACTTGTTCGAAAGTGGAAAGATTTCCCACAAATATGACTTCCTGGATGCTGTGGTGTCGAGCCGCAGTGGGGAAATAATGGATAGAACTACTCTTGTAACCCGAAGCAACAACATTGGGCTGTCTGAGTTAGCGCCTGTCAGACCACGACTGAGCGTGACCTTGGCAGCCGCCTTCACACGCCGGGACACGATGCCAGAGGAAACAGTTGAGGAAGAAGAAGAAGAGTCCAGCCCTGACTCCTTACACAATGAGGAATGACAAAACTAGGATTTTATCGAAAATATAAAGGAATGAGTAAAGACGGACTACCTAATGGACCTGGCAGGGAGCAAAGAGGCCAGAAGCGTATATCCTCCCTCTGGACTTTAGAGTAAATGGACATCAAACCTAATTGGATAAGAGAGCCACATGTCTGGATACAAATTTCATTGTAGCAGCTTGCTGATTATTAATATATGATGCTGTCTCTTGTGACCTAAAGCAACACACTCCCACACATTTAAATGCACACACGGATAGTACCTATATATTGTAACTTTGCATACTCACACCTTTTTAAAGTCTAATTCATCCGATAATGTAAAACTGAAAAAAAGACCATTAATTAGATTGTAAAGTCTCTATTTATAATACAAGAACATGCAAAACAATTGGCTGGTTCTTCCCAAGTATTAACAGCACAACCACTGTTTGGAGAAGAATCAATAATTTGAAAGCAATAAAATATATTTGATACATACATGCAGAAAATGCAATATAATGTAAAAGTGACAGTAGCAGTAGATTAGATCAGCTAAAGCAAGTTAAGTAAAATTTCATTAATTCTTTACCGTGCCAAATCCAGTTAAATCGGGAGCTTATGGTAAAAAGAATATGAATTGCGTTAGACAAAATATCATGTTTCCTACTATTATCTTTTCATGTCTCCTTACTGATACACATAAAAGAGTTAGACAAAAAAAGAAATCCGTGAATCGACAATTTCCCAGCAGAAATTATTGTAGTCTGCTGAAGCCTTTGCTTTTGAACTCGTTAATGTTGGGTATAGGAACAGTTTTTTGCCAGAGAAAATAAGTTAGTATTTTAGACAAACCTGTAATCAACTGCCTTAATGATGCTCATAAGAAAAAAAAATCACTTTCAGCTTTCTGACCAGAATTCTGTGAGACTGGAGTGAGAGACTTTACAATGAATGTATACAGGTGCTGGTCATAAAATTAGAATATCATGAAAAAGTAGATTGATTTCAGTAATTCCATTTAAAAAGTGAAACTTGTATATTATATTCATACATTACATACAAACTCATATATTTCAGATGTTTATTTTGTTTAATTTTGATGATTACAAATGACAACAAATGAAAATCTCAAATTCATCATATCAGAAAATTAGAATATTGTGAAAAGGTTCAAAATTGATGGCCCCTGGTGCCACACTCTAATCAGCTAATTAACTCAAACCACCTGCAAAAGCCTTTAAATGGTCTTTCAGTCTAGTTCTATAGGCTACACAATCATGGGGAAGACTGCTGACTTGACAGTTGTCCAAAAGACGACCATCGACACCTTGCACAAGGAGGGCAAGACACAAAAGGTCATCGCTAAAGAGGCTGGCTGTTCACAGAGCTCAGTGTCCAAGCACATTAATAGAGAGGCGAAGGGAAGGAAAAGATGTGGTCGAAAAAAGTGTACAAGCAAGAGAGATAACCGCACCCTGGAGAGGATTGTGAAACAAAACCCATTCAAAAATGTGGGGGAGATTCACAAAGAGTGGACTGCAGCTGGAGTGAGTGCTTCAAGAACCACCACACACAGACGTATGAAAGACATGGGTTTCTGCTGTCGCATTCCTTGTGTCAAGCCACTCTTGAACCACAGACAGCGTCAGAAGCGTCTTGCCTGGGCTAAAGAGAAACAGGACTGGACTGCTGGTGAGTGGTCCAAAGTCATGTTCTCTGATGAAAGTAAATTTTGCATTTCCTTTGGAAATCAAGGTCCCAGAGTCTGGAGGAAAAGAAGAGAGGCACTTCATCCACGTTGCTTGAAGTCCAGTGTAAAGTTTCCACAGTCAGTGATGGTTTGGGGTGCCATGTCATCTGCTGGTGTTGGTCCATTGTGTTTTCTGAGGTCCAGGGTCAACGCAGCCACATACCAGGAAGTTTTAGAGCACTTCATGCTTCCTGCAGCTGACCAACTTTTTGGAGATGCAGATTTCATTTTTCCAACAGGACTTGGCACCTGCACACAGTGCCAAAGCTACCAGTACCTGGTTGAAGGACCATGGTATCCCTGTTCTTAATTGGCCAGCAAACTCTCCTGACCTTAACCCCATAGAAAATCTATGGGGTATTGTGAAGAAGAAGATACAATACACCAGACCCAACAATTCAGAAGAGCTAAAAGCCACTATTAGAGCAACCTGGGCTATAATAACACCTGAGCAGTGCCACAGACTGATCGACTCCATGCCACGCCGCATTGCTGCAGTAATACAGGCCAAAGGAGGCCCAACTAAATACTGAGTGCTGTACATGCTCATACTTTTCATGTTCATACTTTTCAGTTGGCCAACATTTCTATAAATCCTTTGTTTTTATTGGTCTTCAGTAATATTCTAATTTTCTGATATGATGAATTTGAGATTTTCATTTGTTGTCATTTGTAATCATCAAAATTAAACAAAATAAACATCTGAAATATATGAGTTTGTATGTAATGTATGAATATAATATACAAGTTTCACTTTTTAAATGGAATTACTGAAATCAATCTACTTTTTCATGATATTCTAATTTTATGACCAGCACCTGTAATCTATTGAAGACCTGGTTAGAATTAAATGGGGTAATATTTCCTCTCTATGTTGCAGAGCAGTGTGTTCACAGGCTCTGACTTCATTTCTGCCAGTTACTTGTTTTACAGCAGCAGTGAACAGATTATTTTCTTGTGATGTGTTTATTTGTATACATGCTATATAAGGATAAAATATATATAAGGATAACACATATTGAAGACTGAAATATCCATATGCAAAACATACAGTATAAACGTTTATTTATTTTTTGATGTCATAAGAACAATAAAGAGTGAACAGAGTGAAGATAACTATGAGATATGTGTACACAAGTATATTCTTTGTAGCTGTTTTTTTGTTTGTTTCTATTTTGAAAAAGGATCAGAATATGATGATCTAATACTCATTTCGTTTTATTTATTTATTTATTTTTTGTTAGGTTTAAAAAGTGTTTCAAATCCATGAAGAGAACCAATCTGTTGCTTTGCAAACTTTAAGATATCATTTATGATATAAGCTTTAAAGTTTGGACTTTGGTTTCATGTGGGTAATATTTTGAGGACTTGATTATGCAAATTGTAATGCTCAAAAAAAGGAAATTATTAGCAGTGTATTTTTTGCTATTTATTATTTGAAAAGGCACAGTTATATTCACAAACAAGTGTTATTTGAAGTGATAAACAGTTAATTTGTGGTTCTGATTGGTTTCAGCTTACTTAATGTTGCAGGATTAGTGGGAAACTTTCAACTTTATCTCTTTCCATTTCCTACTTATGCGCCCAAATTGAAAAAAAAAAGTAAAAGAAAAAAGAAAAAGTATTGTCTGTATTTTCTTTCTCTTAAAAACAAAACAAACCTAAAAACAAAGAGGCTGATGTGTCCATCAGTATGTTTGTACTTGGAAACTTTAATATTCACTCAAGAGGTTGTTAAAAAATGCTAAGCAAATTAATCTGGTAGTTTATAAAGTTTGAAACTCTAAAGGCAATTAAAATCTCAATAATTGTTTCACAACTGGTTCTCAAAAGATGCAGATTTTCTGAAAAACCTAACCAATCCATTGATGCCCTCTAAAACCTTTTTTGTTTTGTTTACCCAGCTAAAATATTACTATCAAACAGTAAATCCATTCACAAACTCATAGTGTCCCTGAATCCCAAGGAAATATTTTAAGTTGAAGGGGATAATAGACTGACAAACTGTATCCATGTTTAGTTGACCTTTATATCTAAACCAATGGAACCTAACCTTTTTAAGGGATGCAGTTTTTTTCTACTTATCTTTTAATTTGGTATTTTTTTGTTTGCTTCCTTTGTTATTAGGCTTTATCTAATAATTCAAACAATTGTTGGCATGTTTTTTAAACCTAATGTTGGTATATATAAGACTTGATTTCCAGCAGAGTTGACTGCCTTGATCTTTTAAAATATGTGATTTACTCTCCTAAATATAACAAAGATAGTTTTTCATGCTTTTTCAAATCTGTCTCACCCTTTAGAGGGACATATTTTGGAATGAGAAAGAGTACATGTTGGAAGACGTGACTGAAATTACAATCGCTTGGCTTGCATCTTTGTCACACTACTTGTATACAATGAAAAGCAGCATCTTAAAATAGCTCTCCTCGCTACTAATTTACTTTAAGTGCTGTAGTCTCTCTGGCATGGGACTAGAGGAGGAGCCAGGGAAGGGTGGGCGGGGTCGATGGTGGTCAGGCAGGGAAATGGATGAAAGCCGGGGGAAAGAAGCTCACCAAAAAGCATAGCTGTGGAATTCTCCAACTTATATACGCGGAAATGACGCAAGTTCTTGACGTATTCTCTACATCTCCTCCCATCATAATCGCTGACCTCTTTGATGTCCTTGAGAACTTCGACCAATCCCATAAAAAGAAGAGAGGGATGGGGAGAAGAAGTCCTGACTCCATTCACAGAAAGTGGCTCTCAAAGCACTCATGATAATTAACAATTATGAAACAAAACTGTCAGTTGTCCAAAAGTCAATCCATTTATATTTAGAGGCTTACAGAATGACAGGAGTCTGGTTGGGGGATGATTTGTGTGGAGTGTTAAGATACAAACAGAGACATTCTGTTATAGTTAGGAATTGTATTTAGAATCTCCTAACATTTTATTTCATTCATTTGTCCAAAACAGCCAAAGATGCTTTAATCCATAAAACTCAAAGATTAACAAATAGGTTTAAAGTTTAAAGACTCAGGGGTCAAACTGAGCATTTTTAGAGATATGAAATGAAAGCACTATATTTTACCGCACATGAATCTGATTCTGTTTTTCCTAATTTGTTGCAGTCTCTTTTTTCTTCCAGAAAAAAGGGAATTCTGGTAATCATGCTATCACCACCCTCCTCAAAGTTGATGCAAGATAAGATTACTGGGAGCAAGTGAAACATTGAGGTTGATATCTGACGTGCAATAGCTGGAGACGTCTTTAGAGAGAGAGCTCAAAGCAAATTGTACGCCCAGGTAACGTGGTGGATATAATTACTGTGATGCAGATTCCACTTTTAGTTAGATTGCTAAAGCCTGGTCTGAGCCATCAGAAGGTCAAACTTATCTAACAATAAACTCATTCTTAACCTCACCAAGTAATAAAAGTTCACAATAGATATGGTAAAGTTGTAGCTTAAGTTGACAAGGAAATGTGAAGACATTCCTCTGCTGTATAGATTTTTTCAGCTTATTACTGTATATTCTTTAAGCTTAAGATTCTGTCTTAATTGTCAATAAAATATGAACACTTGAAATAATCTCCTCCTGACCACACATGCAAATGCATAAAATTTAAATGGTTAATCGAATTACCCCAGTTGTAGAGAAATGTATTTTTGTTATGAAGAAACAGAGCAGCAATCAAAGCGATGGGTTTGGTTTTAGTATTTGTGTATTTTAGAATATCGCATCACAAGATCTTCCATATCTCAAACAGGGATGATGGACTTTGATCATGATGGCAGGCTTCTATTGATGTCCTTCATAAGCAATGTCCCCCATAATTGAATTGAAAGTCAGGACACTGAAACATTGAGAAAGGGTGGGGGAGCAGAGGAGGTATGTCTGAGAATAACATTAAACATGAGTTCAGGTTTCAGATCAAGGTAAATGAAAAAGAAAAAAAAACACAGTTTACCTTTTTATTTAGTCTGCTAAATAAATCTGGACATACAGTACAAGCAGCTATTAAAGGGGTGCACATACAAAGACACAAATAAACTGAGATAATGTCACGTCTAATTGTTTCCCATATATCTCTCCATCTTCTCCATTAGTCCCTTTAAGGAACTGAGGGGCATCTACTGCAAAACGAATGCAGCTACTGGTCAAATTAAATCAGCTAGGGAAACCTAATTATACAGCCAGCCATGTTCCACTCAGGTC